GGCGAGTCAAAACCCAGATAATGTGGTAGTTTTCGCCGCCAGAACACTCATACCAACACTGACAGAGTGTATAAACCATTGCTCAAAGTCAGCGGCACAAGGGAGACTACTCCGTCAAGTGCAGGTGCACAAGACTTACCTCTTATATGACATTCACAAAGTACGTGCCGGGTGCGGGATACACCAGTGATCGTTAGTCATATCAACACTGTTCAAGCAGTATGTGCATACACGCTGATCGACACAAGGGAGACAACTCCGTCAGGTTCAGATACACTATACCTCTAATATTGCATTGGCAACACACATGCCTTGTGTATGGTGGCCGAGTTGTCTTGTGGAAATCTACAACTATATGTACTTGCAAGTACTTATGTACATATTTTATGTATATCTTAAGTCTAGTTTTGTCAAAATTATGTATGTGTGTCTGTGTAAAAATGTAGTAGATAACAACATAACTCACATCAGAACGCACAGTTGTTAACCATACAGTTTAAATGGATAGAAAATTGTTATATAAATATGTATATTCCTGTCTGAGCCTATACTATAATCTGGTATATATCTAGTCTCCCCTCACGGGAAAGTTAAACTTAATTTACAAGCACTTTAGCATTGAATTTAATTCCCGAAGACAGTTTGATAGTAAGTAATTATAACAAACGAGTTGTTTTTAAATAATATTTACAACGCATTTCATTCTATTGTCCAAGGAATGGGGTTACAGGTTACTGGCGCTCTCAAAAGTCCTATATGTGATTTAAGGCGGAGACATATATCTAATCCATCAGTATTTTGTAAGGGAAACATAACTGTGTACATGTAAAACTTTTGTCTGCATAATGTACATGCATCTTAATCAATATAATTGTGAACTCGAAATCGGACGAGCAAATATTCGGCTTCAACTTCAAATCTAATGACCGACAAAATATTGCAAACAATACAAACAGTGGCTGATACAACTGACAATTATTTGTCAATATATAATCTTTATGTTATCATTATTTCTTCCAGTTCAATTTATATTATCCTTCAGAGTGTCAGTTTTAAGATTGCCGGAGGAATATTGGAGGGGGTGGTGGTGGTGGTGTAATGAACAAAAAGAAAATATGAACAGCGACTATTCTGTTGTAGTCTGTGAATCTTGCTTGTTTACTACACTACAAGTATATACAAACTAAACGAGAAGAAGTTATGTATGTATTTGTAACATATTTATCAACTACAAGATGTTAAAGAAATCTGATTATAAGAGGCAAAATAGCCGTGAGGAATGGATCACTAAATATCAGCAAAAACCGTTTTAATGTACGGCGTAATGGGAAATATCGCTATCTCGCCCTATCGCTTTCTCGCTCTATAGATTTCTCGCGTTCTCGCTCTATCGCTTTCTCGCTCTATCGCTGTCTCGCTCTATTGCTTTCTCGCACTATTGCTTTCTTGCTCTATCGCTTTCTCGCTCTGTCGTTTTCTCTAATGACTAACCATAGAATCGGGTGTTCTTTAACTTCTTTTGAATAGTATGTACTGTAAATCTTGAAATTAACGTTAGAGTTAATTATAAATGAAAAATGAAAAAAATGAGAGTAGACTTAATTAATTGATCTTTGCATTTATGTCTCAGAAATGACTGTTGATAAGATGGCCTCACTGCACACTTTGAATGGCGGATTGTTGGTAGGGACAGACTCACCTCGGTGTCACCCACAGGGTATATATGATATGTTTATTTGTGTCTGATTTGTGCAAATATCTGTGAGCAGTATTTATTATTATAATAGAATAAGGAAACTGTAAATATGTAAATCATATTCATAGCTACTAAGCGCTACATGATGTTTTGTACCATACTTTCATGTAATATATGATTATGTTATATGCATTGAGTCAGTTCATAGGTACAGAATATATATATGTATACTGTTGTAATATTTAGTATGCATAATTGTCTGCTAGTTATTCCATAAATATTCTGTGAGACATCATTTTAATTGGCATTATACTAGAGTTGTATGCGCCTGTATACATTATCATCTATTATGACTTATTGTGCGTTATACTTATTGTATAATCATGTGTTACAGGGTGAAAATCTTGTCCGTATATCATCGCCATATGACTGTCGAGGACAGAAATAAATACCTCACAACCCGCAGATTGTGTTTGTGGAATGATCCATCTACCCACAGCAGCAACATGCATGTATAGCGAGACCTAAATATACAACACAGAATGACGTATGTGTTGTAACTAATTAATATAATACTGTAATGCAAATAACTATTCAGTAGCATTACACAACTGATATACTTTATAATTATACACTTTTACAATCTAGTCAAATATAAACTATGGATAAAACACTAGATAATCCTTATATACAATAAAATATGTATATTAATAAGCTGCATTTCTTTTATGCAGTAACCTAGCATATCCAGACGGATTATCGTGGCCAAGAGGAAATATTGCTATACTGCGAGAAAGCGATAGAGTGAGAAAGTGATAAAGCAAGAAAGTGATGAAGCAAGAAGGCGACAAAGCGATAAAGTGATAGAGCGAGAAAACAATAGAGCAAGGAAGCCATAAAGTGAGAAAGCCATAGAGCGAGAAAGCGAGAAAGCGAGAAAGTGATGTCGGCCACCAGACGTGTGTGGGTTGCGCAACTGATCGTAGTCATAGCAACACTGTCCTAGTAGTATGCGTACAAACTGTGAACGGTACAAGGGAGACTACTCCGTCGGGCTCAGATACACTACAGGCCGCACACTGCACACATTCAGGTGAGGACTTCACCTGTCATATTAACACGGCAGTGAGGTAGAAGCGGCTCACTGTCAGGACTAGCACAGTACAAGGGAGATTACTCCTGGAGTCACACTTCACAACCGGATACTTTCACATTGACGACACCCATATATCTTAAAAATTACATGCAAATTTAAAGGGCTACTTCATAAAGTAAGACGAGTTCTATGGATGAACAACTTCTTTATTACAATTAGTGCGACGTTTCGGTGTTGATCCTAACACCTTTATCAAGCAAGTGATGGATAGGGCTTAACAACATAGGTATATATACACTTATTGACATCTAAGTTGTTACAGTGACTAGTTGATGGACACAGAGGGGTGATTAAGCTAATTGGAAGCCAGTGGATGACTAATGAACACAGAGTATACTAGCAGAGTAAACAAGCAGACTGATGGAGATGATGGAAGCCACTGTATTAATTGGATGGACAAAGGGATTTAGCAATTAGGTGATGGTAAGCAGGCGGGATGTAATAGCCTTGGTCTCTGTTCATTGCTGGCTGGATCCTTTTGATGTAGATGGCTTCTAGCCACTCCAAGATGGCTACTTCATAAATCAACAACTGAGTTGAGATAAACTGATGATAGTAAGTGTCTGAAGAGAGTGTTTTTGATGATGACCCTGCATATGGAGACGCTTAGATTCCGTTGCAACCCGCTGGCGTCTAATCCGTGACATCATGAAACAGACAGTTTAAATCAAGTCCCTCGTGTCAAATAGCCTGCTCGTTTGCAGCCTAACAAGCAGCTGTTCAGTTATGCTCCAGTTCCATTTGCGCTCACGTTGTACCATCAGTCTCATTCCCAGTAAATCTACAGGTTAATGTTGAACCACATCATAGATCGTGATTGTCATCTTTGTTTCGTGTAACATGTCTGAGACACGGAGAAGGTAAAAAACGACATTGGCAGTCATTGACAGTTGTGAGGTGTGAGTAACCCTGATGTCAAGTTCTGCCACATCCAAGTATTTACTGGGGTAATTGCTAACTAACTAATAAGACTTACACATGCAAAATAAATGGTAGAATGTTGATAAATATAGTTTGTTGGAGAAATATATTCATTTAGCATTTTCAAACTTCTTCTACAACCTGTCCCCCCTACAATGAGAAATGGCATTTTCGATTTCCAAGAAATGACATGTTGCGCTGATTTCCAAGAAAGGAAATGACAGTGTGTACCAGGTTGCGATGAAATTAAAACAAACATCTTTGGACTAAGTTTGAAGGGTTATTTGTCAGTTTCTTTTTGAAAAACTGTGTGAAAAACTACCTTTGACCCCTTTTCAGAATGTTCTGAGATAGCGGATCTTTTGTACCCTGCATTGCAAGAGAGCACCGTTTTCAAAGCCTTGTTGCCGTCATGGTAGAATAGATAGATATAAGCCTTCTGTGTGTTGAAATCGTATGTAGTCCCTCTGCAGAGTAGATACCTCATAATATATATTTGCTAAAGCGCTGGGTTCTAAATTAAAATAAAAGGTATCTACTCTACAGTGGGACTACATTACATTTCAGAACACAGTAGGTTTAACTCCTAATTGTCCACTTTTCCATTGGACATGAAATCCAATTTTCAAAGATATCGTTTTATCGATCGTTTTACTCAAGGTCAAGGTACGAATTTACAACAAAAATAGTGTTCTTCTTCATGGAAATAAGAATTCATTTACTCTCATCAAAATATCATGGCAGCAATAACATTGCAAAATCTGACGATTTCACAGAATTAATTCTAAACAGTTTTATACTGTTGTATTATCTGTATGTATACGTGTTCTATTGTTGTCGGGTGTTGGTATAGCCTAGTGATTCACAACGTTCGTTCGTCATACAGAAGGTCCGGGTTCGATTCCCCATTGGTATAATGTGTGAAACCCATATATTGTGTCCACTCTTTGATTTGACTCTAATCTTGCTCAATGCCACGTAAAACCATACTCTTTCACTCTTTAATATTATATTACCTCATGGTACTAAATAAGTTCTTGGACGAATGGAAAAGCGGCCAGGACATATTACTCATTCTAATACATGGTACCAGTGAACGAAATATCTGATAAAAGAAATAACATAAAAAATGAAGATTACTTTATTTTATTGCTATCTGAATAGAGTGTTAAATGTTGGATTAAAGATATACAATGACTGGTCCCGTGTCGCCTTGTTACTGTCATTGTCTTCGGACTGGTTACCTTGTATGTCCTGCAGGTTGTGTTGACAGTGGTGTGCTTCACCTTCATCTACTCCCACCTCTGAACCTGCATTCTCTCTAAAACAGACAAGGCATGAACATTAGGAACATACCATAATTACATCGATCCTCCATTTGTTTAATGGTGGTTTTATTAGTGGTGATGATAGTGATAGGTTAGACACAACACCGACCATAAAAAGAACATGTAAAAAAGCGCATGTTGTGAAACCAGTACTGGAATATGACAACTTAGCCTTACTATCATAGGATAGAGCAATATCAATGTGTACTATCTGCTCAATACGTACACTTTGGCTGAGAGACCTCAGGGTAGCAGCAGTAGCCAACTGAACTTGCTGCCAGGATACAGATGACAAACACCACCAGATACTTCACAGTATCTGTGGCGAGTGGAAAAGAATCTGAAAGTAATATTAAATAAACAGCTCATGCCAGTATGATACTTTTTTTATGGTGTCAATTCTGTATGTCTTTTTTATTTCATTGCTTCCTACAGCCTGCATTGGGGATTAGTATAATCTTGAATAAACTGACTGCGTTTCGCTAACTTTCTCAAAGATGACGAACACAGTGTACCACAGCAGATGTTACAAACCAAACATAACGGCGGCTTTCTCAGTATTTTCACAAAAGCTTGCTATGAAATTGGAATATGTCTTCATTTCAGAAACAACAACGGGTGTTATGATAAACATTGAAAACTTTCAGAACAATATGATTTGATTTATTCGTTATTCGACAAGGGTGAATTTTAAAAAATACATTTTTTCGGCTCTTCATTGTATAGAAACATATTGTGTATGTCTAGAGCTCCACCTAAACAGAATCCAGGTAAATCAACAGAATGTTGTTTCTTAAAGCAGTTCCAGAACAAATCAATATTACATGGCGGTGTCTGAGACCAATCAGCATGGCTTACCTGTGTCACAGGATCCAGTGGAGCAATTAGTTAATGAGCCGTTGTTTGTGTAGTTGTTGCTACACGTGTATCGAGTGACATTGTTTTCCGGTATACAAAAACTCAAGTACGTGTCAATACTATCCAGACATACAGAACAGGATAGGTTACATTTATCTCCAGATAAACCATTGCTACAACCATTGCAACAAGATCCGTTGCTTGGGGCACATGTGATGTTGAGACATTGCTCCAGGCATGATTCACAATTAGACTTAAAATGTCCAGGTGCACATCCTTCAATACACGCACCTGCATGTTTACACATTTGATGGGTGCAGTTAGAGTTGCCTTTCCTTGAACACTTTAGGCCGTACCAGCCATCAACACAACCGTGAACACACTCGCCAGTCTGGCTGTGGCACTCAGGGGTACATGAGTCTCCCTCAGGACATTGTTCATCAGTAGACAGGGAGGGATCAGCTCGGCAGGTGTCACTGCATGCTTCAGTACAGTTGTCTCCATAGAATCCTTGTCTGCATCCCTGTTGGCAGCCACTCTCACATCCACCGACACAGTGCTCACACGAGGATCTACAGTCCAGTCCAGAATATGGAGGCTGACACTCCTCACATGTTCCTGTGATCCTGTTGCAGGACTTACATCTGCTGGAACATGTCTTCCTATTCTCTGGCTTTGACGTTTTGAATTTACATCCTGCTCCATAGTATGAGTCGCTGCAACCAGAGAAACAAGTTCGACCCATCTGGCAATACTCCCCATCACATCCACCTGGGCATCTGGTACAGTGTTCCTTGGTACTGTAACATGGCCTCTGGCAGTTTGGGCCTTGGAATCCTGGTATGCAGCCATCAGTACATGTCTCAATACCCCTGTCGAGGACCAGCTCACATGTGTGGTACCTGCACCTTCTGCTGCAAACATCCATGCACCTTGGGCCGAAATATCCCGTAGAGCATCGTGTGCTGCATCGGCCTGTGTTTTCATCACACTCGGCACAATGCTGATTTTCCGTACAATTAGCACCTGGAAATGAAAACGTAATTCGTATCTTAGTATTATAAAATATATTTGATGTACTCATTAGTAAAGTTACCAATTATTTGGGAAAGAAACATAAATTACTATCGTTACGAAATGTCCACTGCGGGAAGGCTGCCTGAACAGTTGTTACGCAGCAACAGCTTTACTTTCATGACGGGTTTACATGGGGGAATAAGGCTCTTTTAGGGAGTAAAATTAAGACGACATTGTTCATTTGACATGACATTTCTCAATCCTCATGAAATACAGTAGGAAATATGTATTGCATATCCTCGAAGGTAGTTGCCTGTATCTATCATATTTGTCAACAAACATGAATAAGGACTGTAATGTGAGAGTAAAGATAACCTGATGGGCTTGTGCGAAATGTATAAAGCATTGTCTAAAGACTATTTTGTTAATGGATGTATACATGGTAATAATGACGAAATATGACACGAAAAGTAATCAAACAGTCTATTCAAGAACTTGCTTCGATAATGCACAATGAATGAGAGTTTAGGTATGCATGTGTTGGAGGTATGCTTTGTGAAAGGTAATGTTGGGATTGGTTTCTTGTAGAGACATACATTTCAAAGACATATTAGGAACAACTGTGTCACGCTCAGAGCACTTGTTATACTGGTGGGAACGTAGTTATAGTTGTATGGTTCTCAAAACACCGGAGGCCCAGTTCACATAGTTTAGGATTGTACACCGAAGGATAGATAGTTTCAACAAAGGCAATTTCTGACCACCTCGAAAGGACATATCGCTAGTAAGACATCGATATTGTCTTACATAGTACTGATGTAGGACTTCAAACTGATTCTTAATGTGCTTAACCAGAATTAATTATACTCCCATAGCTTGTACCTCTGTTATTACCAGGGTGCAGAATCTTAGTATGCTGATTGCTTCCGAGCACTAATCACTTAACTTTAAATAAGACCATAAGCATACAGAGCATGTTGAATATCATCATGTAGTAAAAAACACTTCACAGAATACATACTCCTTGTTCTTCCCGGCAATCAAATTTTATGCCTACACCTAGTTTATCCCAATGAATATATTTCACACCCAACAACTCTTTTAAAAGTTCGATCCGTTTTATGTTAGTTTATAATACACATATTTGATTTGTGGTGTTATTGTTTGTTCATGTAACAATGTCATTGTCGCACGGTTGGTCAACTCGCATAAGGCGCCGCAATACGTTGTGCAGAGTTGCGTCCCTCTGGCGTGCCTCAAACTTATCATCATGGGTTCGATCTCAGATTCCCCCGATTATCTTTCTGGGTTTAAACATACCCGTGCTCATGGGTTTCGCCAAAGTGGCCAATGTCTAAGATCTGCATCCTTTCGAGTTTTCCTCCCGCATCAAGCTGTGATATAACTGCAATACTGTTCAAAGCGATGTTAAACCTATCTCAGCCACTCTCCCATTATGCCACTGACATACGAATGCTAATACTTATGTTATAACCCACCAACTCATTCACTCACTCTTACCTTGTGTGTTAATGACCATACATGCCATTGCAAAGATCTGAAGAAGCGGCATGGTGTTCCTGAAAATGTATTAGAAATGCTGATAAATGTTCAGTGCGGTGTGCAGATACATGTAGGCATAATGAATAAAAGGTTTAAGTAACAACCATATTGATATACAAACAAAACTCACTCTTAATGACAATAATAATAAAGCCCGACGCATTCAGACGAGCTTCACATGCACAGTGTGGTTGTTTGAAGGCCTGCTACATGTTTAACAGATATTAGTTTCGCTGTTATGGTCTAACGTTTGTTTCGCCTTCCAGGGTTAAACAAGATATATTACTCACATCCATTAAGGAAACAGGGACGATTGCAAACGCATAATAAAGAGAAATGTCAAGGCAACCTGTACCTTGTTTCTAATCGTATTCCTGTTGTCTGTTGCTCCTATTTCCAGTTTCAAAAGGAAATTAAAAACACAACTGTTTCCTTCAGATGCAGTGATTTGGGGTTCTATTTATTAAAACGCAACACAATAGTTTTCCATATTGATATGTTTTTATGGGAGGAAATCCAAAATGCCACTAACATTCTCACAATTAGATGCTCGAAGTGTCATAACCACTGTTCAAAAGTCAAAATGTCAAAATGGCATGAAATACTTGTAATAATAGTACGAAACAATGTTCTCAGCTGCATATAATGCTGTTCAAAGTGGTGTGAAATACTTTTCAAAGGGTCATGAAATACTAAATTTGTGTTCAAAGTGGTATGAAATACTAGTTAAATGGTCATAAAACTTTTTAAAGTGGTATGACATATTAGTTAAATGGTCATAAAACAGTGTTCAAAGTGGTATGAAATACTAGTTAAATGGTCATAAAAGTGTGTGCAAAGTGTAATGAAATACTAGTTAAATGGTCATAAAAGTGTGTGCCAAGTGTAATGAAATACTAGTTAAATGGTCATAAAACAGTGTTCAAAGTGTAATGAAATACTAGTTAAATGGTCATAAAACAGTGTTCAAAGTGGTATGAAATACTAGTTAAATGGTCATAAAATTGTGTGCAAAGTGTAATGAAATACTAGTTAAATGGTCATAAAAGTGTGTGCAAAGTGTAATGAAATACTAGTTAAAAAGTCATAAAAGTGTGTGCAAAGTGAAATAAAATACTAGTTAAATGGTCATAAAACAGTGTTCAAAGTGGTATGAAATACTTGTTAAATGGTCATAAAAGTGTGTGCAAAGTGTAATGAAATACTAGTTAAATGGTCATAAAAGTGTGTGCCAAGTGTAATGAAATACTAGTTAAATGGTCATAAAAGTGTGTGCAAAGTGAAATGAAATACTAGTTAAATGGTCATAAAAGTGTGTGCAAAGTGTAATGAAATACTAGTTAAATGGTCATAAAACAGTGTTCAAACCGGTATGAAATACTAGTTAAATGGTCATAAAAGTGTATGCAAAGTGTAATGAAATACTAGTTAAATGGTCATAAAAGTGTGTGCAAAGTGTAATGAAATACTAGTTAAATGGTCATAAAAGTGTGTGCAAAGTGAAATGAAATACTAGTTAAATGGTCATAAAACAGTGTTCAAAGTGGTATGAAATACTTGTTAAATGGTCATAAAAGTGTGTGCAAAGTGTAATGAAATACTAGTTAAATGGTCATAAAAGTGTGTGCCAAGTGTAATGAAATACTAGTTAAATGGTCATAAAAGTGTGTGCAAAGTGAAATGAAATACTAGTTAAATGGTCATAAAAGTGTGTGCAAAGTGTAATGAAATACTAGTTAAATGGTCATAAAACAGTGTTCAAACCGGTATGAAATACTAGTTAAATGGTCATAAAAGTGTATGCAAAGTGTAATGAAATACTAGTTAAATGGTCATAAAAGTGTGTGCAAAGTGTAATGAAATACTAGTTAAATGGTCATAAAAGTGTGTGCAAAGTGAAATGAAATACTAGTTAAATGGTCATAAAACAGTGTTCAAAGTGGTATGAAATACTTGTTAAATGGTCATAAAAGTGTGTGCAAAGTGTATTGAAATACTAGTTAAATGGTCTTAAACTGTGTTCAAAGTGGTATGAAATATTAGTTAAATGGTCATAAAAGTGTTTGCAAAGAGAAATGAAATACTAGTTAAATGGTCATAAAACAGTGTGCAAAGAGAAATGAAATACTTGTTAAATGGTCATAAAACAGTGTTCAAAGTGGTAAGAAATACTAGGTAAATGGTCTTAAACTGTGTTCAAAGTGGTATGAAATATTAGGTAAATGGTCATAAAACAGTGTTCAAAGTGGTATGAAATATTAGATAAATGGTCATAAAACAGTGTTCAAAGTCGTATGAAATACTAGTTAAATGGTCATAAAACTGTGTTTAAAGTGGTATGAAATATTAGTTAAATGGTCATAAAACTTTTCAAAGTGTAATGAAATACTAGTTAAATTGTCATAAAACAGTGTTCAAAGTGCAATGATTTATTAGTTAAATGGTCATAAAACTTTTCAAAGTGTAATGAAATACTAGTTTAATCGTCATAAAACTGTGTTAAAAGTGGTATGAAATACTAGTTAAATGGTCATAAAATAATGTTCAAGGAGGCATTAAATACTAATCTTAGTGTGATTTGAATGCACACATACTCACTACATGTATCATTCGTTTGGCACGTGCCATTAGGTCAAAGATCAAGGTCTCGAGATATAAAAATAATTTCATTTGAAAATGTTTAGTCGTTCCCAAAAAGGTTTTCGTTTCCTCCTTTCGATGAAACAAAACATATGTTTTGAAGCATTGGCCTCTAACCACAATTCAAAATGTATAAATATGATACTTGATAGCTGTTACATCTTGCAAGTTGGTCCCGCAAGCATAAGTGTAATTGGAGTGATTGAGATTATAGTTCGTATGGCCTTCTTTTCTGAAAAAAATACGATCCCACCCCATTCTATTCTACACTATATCTCACCATTCCATACCAACAATACCATACCATTCCACAACCATACAATACAATCCCATGTCACACAATGCCTTACGAATCCCATATTTTGACTTGTACCATATGTTCCCGTGCTTTTTTACGTTAACAATTGTGTTGCCTTCGCATGTGCTTGTGACGGGTGCCACAGGTGGGGCAAATTATATCACACTCACCTTTTCGCGAACACCTGGTATCATTACTATTTGTTAGTGATTCAAAAACACATGCACATGATAAAGTCGGATCGTACAATCGACGCTGCTTTTAGTAAAGATTTATTGTTTCAGTGGAATGGGTTTTGTTGCTTTATTTTTATAAAACCTGCTCCAATGACGTTGGTTAATGCCGTGTGTGTGTGTTTCATGAAGCCTAAACCTATGACGTTTAAATGCCTTCATGAAGCCTACTTCCATGTTTGGATCACACATGAGTACGTCACGCTTATGCGATGTAGTGATCAGGGTTTTGGACGAAAACGTCTGGTGTTATCTTATCACT